CTGTCAGAGGATGGAGATGGATGGCAGGAGAGAGATCACTTGATCATTGCCTGTTAGGTTCACTCCGCCTGGGGCGCCTGGCATTGGCCACTGTCGGTAGACAGGATACTGGGCTAGATGGACCTTTGGTCTGACCCGGTACGGCCTTTTTTATGTTCTTAGGTTCAAAGTAACTTATCTAGTAGCATTTTAACAAGAGCTTTTTAGAACAAGTCCTGCCTTACAACAAAGGTATTTATATTTGCTCTGTATCTTCAACAAATCAGAAAGTTGTGTTCAGTTTTTTAGCAATGAAATTACATTTTAATCTGATTTCTCAGGGACCTAATTATACCCTGTTCACACTAAGTGAATACACCTTCTTGAAGTAAAGGGAAATAGTCAGATTAGTAAATAGTCCTCTCAATATGAAGGGGAGAACCTGATTTTAATCAGACAATGCCCAAATTGGCATATCGGCAAAGAATTTTATTACTTATATAGCAACCAGTTTAAAACACTATCAACTTTCAAGTGAATAAGGGTTTGATTTCAATTTAATGTCTAAAAGGGTACTATGAGCAAACAGTTCAGATGACAATAAGGAAAATTATACATCAGTTGTATTGGATTATCCCCAGCGGTATGTGGGCAAATTCTTAAATCAACAACTGAAAACTAAAATTGCTAAAAATTTCAATAGCAGGAGGAAAAGCTGAAGGAGAAATAGAGAACTGAGAAAAATAAAAAGAGGGTTCTAAATTTGTCATTATGTTTTGATAAAAAATGGCTGGTACAGAAAAATTTTGATTTTGAGTATCTGCTCCTCTTTTCATCATAATAAATAAGCCTGTGAGTTTGAAAAACTCGTAATATATCTTCTAATAATGTTCAATTAACTAACTGTAAGATTAATTGGGTAACAAATTTGATAGTTCTGAAGCTAAGCCCAGCTGAATCCTGAAATTAATGATTTTGAGTTTTGAATCCAATTAACATTATTTTCAAGAAAGGATCAAGTTAGAGGAGCTAAGGTTGTCTGCCTTAAATAGGCTATTGAGATGGTACAAGCTAAAGAGAAATTTTAGGGATATTCTGAGTTTTTATTAAGGTAAAGTGAAATAAACATTCAAAAAGGGCCACATTTTGAATATCAAATGGAAGGGGAAAGACAAAAGAAATAGGAAAAACTGATGTGAAATTTCTAAGTATTAAAAGGTGGTTTCAAGGTATCTTCATAGATTCAAAACTGATTTAAACTAATCAGGGTTTTTTTGGACACAATATCTTGAAGTTGTCATTGCAACTAAACCTCATTGAATCCTGAAATCAGTCATTTTGAGTTGTTTAACTTAATGAATGTATTGGTTAAGAAAGACCTATGTTGGCTGGTGTGGAGGTCTGAGCTATCTAGGTATCACTTGAATGTGAAATTGAGAATTTGTGGAATTTTTAATAAGTCTCAAAAGGACAAAACTGAATATAAGAGAAAAGACTGAATAGAAAGAGAATATAAAACACTGCTATAATATTTCCAAGGACAAAAAAAGTTGCAAGATGTCATAAAATTTTGATAAAACAAAAACAGATATCAGATGAATGTGGAATAACTCAGATTGTGTGGTATTTTGTGATCTGGTTTAGAGTAAATGATGATGGGTGGTTTTTAATCATTTACTTAAGGAATTGGCAGTCAGTGTATACAGTAAAATGTTAATACTGATGGGAGATTTTAACAGCTTTCAATATAATATACACAGGAGTTAATGGAAAAAAAGGTTTTCTGAGCAACTTTAAATGTGGATTTAATCAGAATTTATTAGAAAGTTCTACCTTTTTATGTTGTCTTTTGTGGATTATATCAGATATTCAAAGTAACATTAGAGAAATTAAATCTGGTCTCATATTGCATTGAAGAGGAGAGTTCTACATACTGAAAATGCAGACAGTATTTCTAAGCAAGTTAGTCTGCCATGAAGTCTATCTTTTCAAAATAATTGTAATGTCTTAAAATCTATTTCATGTGTTAGAAATAACTCTTCAATAACTAAATCCCATTCTAAAGCCAAAATGGAGTCACCATAGCCTGCTTAAAATGTTCTTTCTCCATCCTACGAGTATCCTGGCAAACTGCCATCAGTAGGAGGGACCAAAACCTGTGAAGTTTAAGCAAAATTGTGTCCCTGGCCCATATCTCCATGGTCAAAAGTTAGAAGGAAAAATTAATCCATAGCCAAGCGCAGCATATTCATCTACAACATCCTGTATCGGGTAGTAGAGTTTTGGTAGATGAGCTGATTCGATCTCTCAGGCTAGGGACTCCGATTATTTAAGGTTTTTCTTTTCCTGGGAGAACAGGCTGTTGTCTCAGGTTTTGCTTTTCTCCTTTACTATATTAGCGCACAAAAAAAGCAAAAGATGCTGGTGGTTGGCACTCCTGGTTTCCAGGACGGGGTTCAAATCCCTGCGGTGTCTTTGCTTTAATATCATAGCTCCTTTGGCCTGAGTGGTTCACCAACATTCAGAGCCTTGATGGGCTGTTTCCGATAGGAGGGGAAATTGATGAGAAGAACATCCATATGGTCCTGTATCACTGACTGCAATAGGAACAAACAAGAATTTTCATTGCTCACAATTTCCAAGCCAGTCTCTCCAGTCAGTCCTGTGCCCCAAGGAGCTCTGTCCCATTTCTTCCTCCCACAGCCACACTCACCCATGCTTCTCTCCCTGTCTACTGTCTTTTTCTTTGGTTGCAGCTGTGTGTGTCCGAGCAAAAAAGCAATCAATGGCTCCATCCCAATTGTTAGCACCAACTTAGTACTGGGAAAAAGTGCCTCCTTGCAGTATCGTGAACCCCACGTGTTTAAAAATCATGAGTCAGGCTCCAACACTCATGAGGTTAGCTTTAAAATCATGAGATGTTTAATAATAATAGTTAAGTTTTTACCTTCTGGTGTTTTGAACGTTTAGGGTTCATGGTTCCAAGCTTTTTTCTGCAATGACAAGGGCTCCACTTCTCACTCATCCATTTAATTAACTTAATTCTACACATTATGACATCATCACTCTCAGTGCCTGAGCCGTGGAGCCTGACAGCCATGGTTTGGATTTGCTCTGAGCTCTGCTGCAGAAGCGGATTTACCATGAAACAAACTGTGCGGTGGCATGGGGCCCCCAATGACAGGGGAACCCCAAAATACAGGACAAATATCTGACAACCTGCTCCCGAGTCCCGGCCAGCAGCGTAGCAGGACTTAGAAAGGCAAACTGCGGGTGACCAGATGTCCCGATTTTATAGGGACAGTCCAGATTTTTGGGTCTTTTTCTTATATAGGCTCCTATTACCATCCCCCTCCCCCATCCCGATTTTTCACATGTGCTGTCTGGTCACCCTAAGCTGCCTGCATGCCAGGGCCGGTGGCCCCACGCTGCTCCCGGAAGCTGCTGGATGCTGGCATGTCTCTGCGTGCCCTTGGCGGGGGGGAGGCAGCTACACATGCTGCCCCCACCCTGGGCAGCTCACGGAGACCAGCTGCCCCCCACATCCCACCCCCCTGCCCCAGCCCAAAGCCAGCACCCAAACTTACTCCCATAGCCTGCCCCCCATACTCCATCCTGCACCCCAACCTTCTGCCCCAATCAAGGTACCTCACTTTATTATCATTTACTTCCCATTACTTATAATAGAGGAGGAGGAGGAGGAAGAAAAAAAGAATGAAAAACGGGGGAGATAAGAGAGAATGTTCTTTTTCTTGGCTGGGTCACCGGGGGGAGGAGGGGGAGCACTGAAAATGAAGCTGCACACAGGGCCCCACTAACTCTACATCTGCCACTGCTCTGCTGCCTTCTATTTGCATCCAGCACTGCCAGACCCTGGCTCAGAAAGAGCTGTTGATTCAGCAGCACAAGCCCTTGGCCAGTTTCGCCTCCCTACATCCTGTTTTCTGCATCAAGTCCTGTTTGTACAGAGCCTTTTCCGCCAGGTCACGTGGTGTAATTGCCTTTATAATCAGGCCAGCTCCATTTTTCCTGCTGTTATTATTCAGGCGCACAAAAGGTGAGATCAAACAGACCTAGGTTTTATTCCTGACTTGGCCACTGCCTGCTATTTATTTACTGTTATCCTTGACTATCCTAAAGGCCTGTTTTTAAACAGTATTCTCAGGATGTGCTAGATTCAGTAACAGCAAAGCAGATTGTAGGATGGGTTGTTAGTTCTTATACTGATAGATGTAAACAGCACTTCAGAAAATAAGACCCTGATTCTCCAGGCCCCAAGCCCTCATGATTGCAGAGAAAAGCTTGGAAATATGAGCGTAGTCTAAAGGCTCAGAAACCGGAAAGCAAATACCTAAAGGTCTGTGTTTTTCAGGACAAAAAAATCAAAATTTTTAAGCCAATCTTATGATTTCTTGCAGGTCTGACTCATGCCTTTTTTAAATGCGCAGATATTTCTTGTTTCATCTATGCAGTCATTGGTAAAACTAAACAAAAGAATTTTTGTAAGTATGAGTTTATATTTTAAAAACCTGTGTGCTCTGAGCTCTTGCTTACTCCATTCCTATAGGTCCACACACCTATCTTATTGTCCATAAAACCTTAGAAAGAAGTTTTTACTAGTTGTACTTTATTTTTTCTGCTGCCAAATAGCTAGACCAATAACTCAAATTGAAGTTGGCAGCTCTTTCGCCGGTATTTCCATCCTACCATCAACCTCAGCCTAGATCAATCCACACAAGCGGTAAATTTCCTGGACACTACTGTGCTAATAAGCGATGATCACATAAATACCCGCCTATACCGGAAACCTACTGACCGCTACACTTACCTACATGCCTCCAGCTTCCATCCAGGACATACCACACGATCCATTGTCTACAGCCAAGCTCTAAGATATAACCGCATTTGCTCCAATCCCTCAGACAGAGACAAGCACCTACAAGATCTCTATCAAGCATTCTTAAAACTACAATACCCACCTGCTGAAGTGAAAAAACAGATTGACAGAGCCAGACGAGTACCCAAAAGTCACCTCCTACAAGACAGGCCCAACAAAGAAAATAACAGAACACCACTAGCTGTCACCTTCAGCCCCCAACTAAAACCTCTCCAGCGCATCATCAAAGATCTACAACCTGTCCTGAAAGATGATCCCTCTCTCTCTCAGATCTTGGGAGACAGACCTGTCCTCGCTTACAGACAAACACGCGACGTCAAG